CAAATAGGATAAATACTTCAGCTTATATGTAAAACGTGCCATAACTGTTTTATGGACCATTTTCAGACTGAATGGTAATGCATTGTCTGCATATCCGTGTTTATTTTCAGTGCCTGCATTCCCTTTTAAAGCCCTGATCATCTGACACCAACGATGCTGCAAATATAGTCGGGCTTCGCTAAAAAAAACAACGCTTTGCAACTGTGTTTTGAGAAAGATAGGAGTAATTGCGAGACGTCCAACTATGAAGCTTTGCTTGGAAGTCAACTCTACATCTCTTCTAAATGCAGAAAAATAAGAAACTGATCAATAACCTGCAGTGGAGGGTAAAAGTCAGGAGGAAATCATGCTCAGTCAAACTGCTGGCACCATGAAAATATCAGTATTTCCTCAATCAAAATCACACAAACCAGTGGTTAAAAAATAAAATAAAATGTTAAAGGGTCTGTTGTACAAACCCTTTAAAAACACAATCATTCCTAATGAGCTAAAAAACAAAAGACCGTTTGCACAACTTATTAACATATCGACAGGTTTTCTTCATTAAATAACATAAACTGTAATCCCTGTTTGAAATGTGTACTTTGCATGCAGCACAGCTTATTATGACCTTCCTATGAGTCCGTAGATCACTTTGGTTGTCGCAGGGTTTCAAAAAGGATGCACAAAGTGTGAATCCAGCTGCAGCGGTAATCAGTTCATCGCTAAACGAAAGTACGACTCGTCATGCGGTTTAGTGGAAGATAAATATAGCAGCAAACAGGAAAATAGGTGCTAAGTGAAAAAAATCCCCTGAACATAACTGCACGCAGATGTCATCCTGTATGTTTTAAAGTTTAGTTTATGTATCTCAAACTATACAGAATAAGCAATGCACATATAATACATGAGCATTAGTGAGAATTCAAGTACAATCCTCAAGCGTCTACCTCGCTTACTCGAGCTCTTAACGCCAACATATCATGTGTTTCTATGTTGTTACAATCTGACTCCAGGCTTCTGTATAACGTGAGTTTAAGCTTAAAAGTGACAAAGCGCTTACTGCTTTTACTTAAAGCACTAAATAGTGCGCCTCCCTGCTTTCCACACAGTATCAGCTGCTCATTATGTTCACAATTTTGGAAGTTACTCCACTATGACAATTACTGCAAGCAGCCCCAGGTAAAAGCCACTTAATGTCTACGGTGTCCATGCAAATTTAGCACAAACACAAAGTCCCAGAAAATAGATTAAAAGGGTCAATTCCTTCTTGCGTGGCAGAAAGCCCCGGCATCAATGCCCAGCGGCACTGACAGACTGATAATATCTGCCTCGGCTGCCATTGACACAATATATCAATATCCAGTGGGCCTGGCGGCTCGCTCCCCGACATAAACAGACCAAAGACAACGATGGGCTCACATTCCAAACACCAGCCGCTGACATTTGCACAGCATCCGCAGAGGAGAGGAAAAAGCACAAATGTTCCAGCTCTGTGGGAACACTAGGAGAGTGTAAGCCTTTTCTTAAGACTTTGTTCGTCTTCCGTTTCTTTCTTCTCGCTCAGCGGGCAGCCATTTTCCTGGCGCAGACTGAAGGTTGTTTGGCACACCTGATTCGTAGCAGGAGACAGCGGGGGAATAAGGGGTGCAGGGAGGTCACGGTGCTCAAAGACGGCCAGGAGGCGCCAGCTTAACGGCAGCATTTTATTCAGACAGTCACCCAGCTCACCGGTCATTACTGCTATAAGGGGATTTCGGGTCCGGCTACAAGCTCACCTATTGCTGAGGCTTTGTGCTCGGCTTGTGTGTGTGTGTGTAATGTGGCATTTCTGTTGCTATAGTACAACCAAATTAACATAATTCGACAGGTATGCTGTAAAATGAAGGCATTATGTGGCATGTTTTAATTTAAATCTGTTGATCTCTAAGAAACTTATTGTGGTTTCCGTGCACATGTAATCACACAAACACGCACAACCATCTGACTGTCAAATAGTCTGGCTTTAAAAACAAACAGATGTGCCACATTTGGTTGTAAATGGCGATGCAGGTGGGCTTGGAAACACAGTGACAACACTTCCATTAAAAAAGTCAAACTTCCCATTCATGCCCAAGTTCTTGATCAACTCGGTAATCCGACGAGTGCGCGCACACGTACAGCGAGGTGACAAAGACGCGCGCTGTTCGCCAAGACACGCACAGGACAAAGCAGCCCTGAAGACTTTTATTGCTCCATTGGAGGAGGCTCTGATACAAGAGGCTGCAATGAGTCTCACTGCAGTGCTCTCGGCTGTCAGCTCCATCTCCCCTCCGTGTTGCCTCCTTCCCCTCTTTCAACCGCTTCATATGTCGGAGGCGACGGCACAGAGAATATTCCAATTTCGTCAAGCAAAGGCCGCCGTTCGACTGCACCGGCGTATCTCTGTTGAACATTCGGCGGGACGAAGGGGGGGAGGGCAAATTTCAGGCTTTATAGAGACTCGCCTTTTTAATGCACGCGTCCCTTTTGATGTGCGCGATGTTGCGGAGACCAACAGACGAGCGGAGATATGGGAGCCTCGGTCTTGTGAAAGAGCCTCGGTCCTCAGAGCTACAGTCGCTCTCTGATGTCCCCCCCTTTGCTGTGGGTTTGTTTGGTTGTGCTCTAGTGTTTCATTACTGCACATCAAGTTCTAACCTTACTGAATGTAAAGGACGTCGGCAACAAAATGCAGAAAAAAAAGGACACCCTCCTGTTGCTCCGGGCGCCATTTTTTTCTTACGCGATGAGGCAGCCGAGTCAGTGAGCCATAACATCATAGAATTACAAATAGGAGACCGTATGAAAATGACTCTCATCCTGCTGAGGACTTTTGGAGGGGAATGAACTGTCCATTAGCGGGGAGTTTTTTCTGGAATAGGCATACAGCACCTTGGTGACTTTGGCAGTATGTGCTGGTATCCTGAGGGCCCTAGCTAGTGGTGGCCTGCCTTTAAACATTTGTAATGTGTGATCATGCAGTCATTGTCCCTTGTTTCACCCTCTCTTGGCAGTGGACGCACACACAGAGGAAGAAGGTGGGGAGTCTGCTTTCTAGTTGTTGGCAGTTGAGAAAAACGATGCCCATTCACAGCTTGGGCATTGAGGCACTCGGTGGGCCGGAGCAGACCGTTTTTTGTTTTTTTTTGTTGGCTCTGTCGGATTGGGGAGGGGGGGGGGGGGGGATACCCTGTCTATGCATTCCATTAAAGTGGAAAAAACTCACAAAGCTGCTCTATCTGGAGACTAAAACACGAGCTGAGAGTATTAAAAAAAAATAAACTCTGCATGAGCTTCAAGGAAATGTACATCTGAAGAACAACATTTGGGTATTTTTAGTTTTTACTGCTGCGGTTTTTCTTTTGGCTTTATATCTGTAACTGAGGACAAAGCACAGGTTCGCAGTGTGTCAACCAGTGCTGGCAGCGTGAATGTGAGCCTCCAGGAAAAAAAAAAAAAAGAGAGAGAAGCTGTCAGCAACGCAGCCAACAGGCTTGAGAAGGTGGAAACTGTAGCAACAACGATAGCAAAACCGCAAAAACAGTCATGGATACGCAGACAAACACAGAAGCATGTATAAAAAAACAAGAAAAAGAGCGTCTGTGTGTCTGGCTCGTTCGGCGCCTTACTACAAAAGATCTTCATCCGAGGAAACACAATTAATATTCGACAACAATAATTGGGCGGAGGAGGGTGTGGTGGAAAATATCTGCTCCTCAGACATTAATGACCCCGAGGCAGGAGTTTTGCAGAGCTCAGCTGAACCGAGCGGGCAAGCAATGTCACGTTGACATTCACATGAAAGAGCATCAAAAAAAAAGAACAGGAGAAACCATGAGTCAGTGAGAGCTCGGTGCACGGGGGGCAAATAACCCTTCTGTCCTCTGACGCCTCAGTCATCATGTAGCACATCACCTCTAGGTATGAAAGGCATGAGAGCAGCGCCAGGGAGTGACACCAGGCTCCGAGTGAGAGTGACAACAGGAGTTATATGTGTCACATGCCGAGGCTTGAAACCCATCTGTACAGGCTGGCCAATGGCTGCCCCCCTCCTCCTCCTCCTCCTCCTCCTCATTCTCCTCACCAGGCCTCACTCGCCTTAAGTGGGTACAGATGTGTGATCCACAGACGCTCCCACTCCGGAGTCCTTATTGGACCCACAGGGCTCAACAAAGGCTGGCACACAGCTTTGAAGAGCTCCTGGCCGGAGAGTCGCTGCACAACGTCCCGTCATTTGCTAGGCGATTGTGTGAGGCGGACAGAGGTGCCACAAGCTGAAGGCTGGACGGTTTGACCAGTCGGAAGATTACTTAACCGCCCCACGTGTAAAGCAAATAAAGGTGATTTGCTATCTTGTGCTGTTACGTGAACAAGGGCAAACTGTTGAAGCAATAAACCTGAAACTATTGATTATCTTGTTTGCTTTCCGTGTGTTTTGCAGCTTTAAAAAAAAAAAAAAAAGTCACTAAATAACTATTCTGAGCCTGATCTGATTGAATATCGAAAGCAGCCCTGACACCGTTCTCCGTCTTCATTAATAGAAACTAGAAAGCACAAAGGCGTTGGGTAAATTTAGACAACTGATGAGCGAAAGAGATTTATTTGGTCTGTTTGACAGCAGCTCAGCAAACAGCTGTCCCACCGCTGCCATACACATCACCAAGTATTGTCAGAGAAATCAGATTCAGCATGGGGAATAGAATTACTTGTTTCAAGAGAGAGTGCCTGGCTGTGTTTTTATTTATTTATTTTTTTATGTTGGGCTGCCACTTATATGCTTGTGTTTGTGGTGTTTTGACAGGCTCCTATTGGAAAGTGTGTGTTAACTCTATGAAGTGCATGATTGGTGTGATTGATTTGGTTTTATTCATGTTAGTTGTGTCCTAAAATAACCCCCCCAGATGTGCTTCCTGTTCTATTTACTTCCTATTTTACAACTATTGTGATTGGAGCACTTGCACCAGAACCCATGACAGACATCCACCTCATGCGTCGCTCACCTCTTTCACTTTCTCCCTCCTCTCGTTGGTTTGGGGGTCTCCAGGCTTGCCGTTGTCTCTCCCCAGCGGGGGTTTCATCAGACACCCTCTGTACTTCTGGTAACTGAAAGTATCCGTGTTGGCACCGCGGTCGGAGGAGGTCGCTCTCTCCGACGAGGACTCGATTTTGGACCTGGCCAGAGTCAGATCCTCCTGCGCTTTGCCGCCGGCGAGCCGCTCCTCGGTCGCCTCATGGGAGACGGACGGCTTTCGGCTCAGACTCTTCGCCTTGGTGCCGGTCTCTCCTTTGGCCGAGGTCATGCCCCGCGGATGCTCCTGCTCCTGTTTGGGTCTCTTGAGGTGCTCCCTGACATCGTTCTCGGACCCGGAGCCCACGGTGACCGGCTGGATCTCCGTCTTGGAGAGAAAAATGCGCTTTAGACGCACCGAGTCCGGCAGAAAGAAAAGGGCCCCAAAACACAGCGTTACCAAACCCGAGAGGAAGAGCAGAAAGACGAATTTCTGGGACAGGCGCAGACCCATGCCCGATGCCGACACACCGGGCAACTTTCGGAAAACCATTGAAACTTTTTCTTGACGCGTCGCCTTACAGTGTTTCTGACAGCCTGCTCTCCTGCCAGCGAGCTCTGCTGCCTGGAGGCTTGCGTAAAACCAGAAAGAAGAAAAAAAAAACTACACAACTAAATATGCGGGGCTTCAAACACACCCCCGTGACACTTGCAGCAGCACAAACAGCCTGCCAGAGCTGTCTTTATCTGGCTATCGATTGGATCTGCATAAGCGAAGGTTAGGGCCTGCCTACATCTACAATTTACCAATCATTTGGCAACACAACTCCCCGATCTGCAATCACTGACATCCACACACTGCGGGATTTATTTTAATTTTGAATATATTTAAAAATGTAAATCATATAAAAACAGAAAGCAGCGCAGGGCTTTCGGAGGGGTGTGCTGACAGATAAATGGCACTGGCGTCTCCTGAAATTTCAAGGATAAACAGGATCACTTTTTTTTTTGTTAAAACAGATCCATCAGGCCTTTGAACAAAGTTGTGAGTCGATGCATTATTTCCACGATAACACGCTGCCCTACGGTGCCAAACCTGAAGCGAGCATCTTTTTTTTATATATAAATATATATATATCCTCCCGTTTATACCGAGCCACGTTGCTGCATCACAAGCTCCCGGAATCCCGTTTCAAGACAGAAAAAAAAAAAAAAAAAAAAAAAAAAACAGGGAGCCGTTTCGATCGCATCTATCCTGTACAGCTGGTGGACGGAAACGCGTGTATATTCATGTCGCCTATCTGTCAACTGCGCTCCTCCGGCAGCCTCCGTTTTTTTTTTCTCTCTTCTCTTCTCTCTCCTCCTCTGGCGTCAACACGCCGGGCGAAACAGATCGCTGGATGACATTAAAAGAAGGCGGGTTTTTGTCCCATGTGAAGTTATCCTAGCCCTCCCGATGCCACAACCCCGTGGAATAAACACATCCACCATCCAGTCCGCCGGTTTCCAACAAAAAAAAAGACAAGACACGTCGCTCCGGTGGTACCCGCCGCCGCCGCCGCCGCTTCTGCTGCTTCTGCTGCCGCCGTTCGTCCGCCTTCTCCTCTCGCTTCTCTCCTCGCTTGTAGTGCGCACTTGTGTCGCTGTGCCGTGGACGTCCGCTTGCGTAAAATAAAAAAAAAAGAGCGAGAGAGAGGGAGAGGAGAGAGAGGAGAGGGGCTGGAAATGTAACATATAGCCCTCAGTGCAGGGAGGGTGAGGAAGAGGAGGAGAGAGCAGGGAGGAAGGGGGGAGACGAAACGGTCCGCTGCTCGACAATCCAGTGGGCTGCAAGGATTTCTTGATGGATATTCACAACGGCTTATCAAAACACAGTTAAGCCGGGGTTTTTAAAAAAATATATATTTTGGACAAAAGGAGGGGAGAGGTCTGACTGTGCGTTTTGGGGATGATAATAATAATAATAATAATAAAAAGCATCCTCACCCCCCCTCAGGGAGGAAATGAACAATCCTGGAGAAGCTGAGGATACATCTGCTACAGATGTCTGGTAAAAATAAAGAAAGTTCCAGTGATGAGTCACTGGTTCATTTTTGGGAAGAGAAGGCAGACCACCATAAAAGGGTTTTTTGGTTTTGTTTTGCTCATGACCTCCTTGTAATGAAACCAGTATGAATGTAGAAACCATCCAAGGGAAGATTTAGAAATATATTCCCATCATTTGGGGGTTTTTGTTCTTTCTTGTTGGCCTTTAAACGCACCATTTTGTGCATTAGGTCAGGTTTCCCCCCCAACATGTAAGCCAAGAACCCAGCACATCCTTTGACAACGCTTCAAAAACATTAATAAAAGACTCAGAGACAGAAAATCTGACTCTGAATCACTATAAAAGCAGCTGTGGTGACCAAAGGTGACGCATGTATTACTGTGGTTGTCTTGCTTGTGATCATGACCCACGCTGCTCTTCTTACCCATGAGCATTTGTCTAGTTAAGATCATTTATCTGTTGGCTATTTATGTTTGCTTTCTATTTTAATAAATATATAATGAAGTCATATTTGTTGAACATCATAAAGAAAAAAAATTTTAAAAGTCACTATAGTCGTGGCTGCCATCTTTGTTTGGCTGTACAACCAAATAGCAACGTGCTAAAATGCTCTAATTTTTTTTTTCTACTTAGTCTTGATAGTGAACATGTCTTACAACATTTTTATTGTTGTTTTTCTGTTTTCTGTGTTTTTTTGCTCAGCTCGTTAGATCCGTGTCGTTGCAAAGCTTCCAGCCGATTTGG